TTACAAATACGTATTATATAACTATACAATTATGATGGAATATAAAGAATGGATTGGGACAAATGTAAGTTATGCCAACAAAATTTTAAGTTTCGAATTGCTCCCAATGATTTCTTTGACTTTTGATTTTTTTTAAAAGCATGTTTGGCTGGAGAGATAGCTCAGCGGTCTAAGTGTCTGCCTGGCAAGTGCAAGAACCCAGGTTTGATCCCCAATACTACATTCTGTGCAGGCCATGGAACCCTGGGTGCACCATGCCGGCCACTGAAACCGGATGCTGTGGTGCACTCTTGTTATCCCAGCGCTGGGGAGGCCAAGACATGAGGACCACTATAAGTCTGAACTATGTAGCCAGACCCTGTACCAAATAAATAAATAAATGAATAAATAAATAATCAAGCATTTTTTTTACTCCTATCATAGACTTGTGTTATTAAGTATGAAGTGCTACATAACGAAAAATTACCATTCCTTTCTTAATAATGTTATTCTCAAGGTAACTAAGGATTTCTCTGGAAAATTTCTTTTTCTAAAATGTATTTAGTACAGGGTCTACAAGGTCTCACTACACAGGTCAAACTCATAGTGATTCTCCTGTTTTCAGCCCCCAAAACCTGGATTACAGGTGCATGCCACCACGTCTAGTCTTCTCTGGAAATTTCAGATCTTTCTACTTCATCAAAATTTTCCTGACATGATATTCATAAAATGGAAACATTTATATTTTATAATTTATGTATTAATTGTCATTTGAAGACATAAAGGTTTCTTCTTAAAAATCAAATGTACCAAGTATTTATCTTCTTTATTGTAGAACCTGCGGAAAGTGATAAGCAATCCCTTAGCTCGTGTAGCTCCTGAACTTTTAAACATGGAAGCATGCCAGATAAACATGAAGCACCTGCTCCCTGAGGATGCTCAAAGGCTGTGTCATCCTCAAAGCCCATTCTATTAGGCACCCTGGAGTTATCAGGTGGGCAGCAAGGCACTTGCTTTCCTGTTTATATTTGCAGTCCTTCTGATTCTTTGTCAGTTACCTAGGAAGGTACAATTGACCAAGTCCAGCCTGATCATTCAAGATTGATTTCTCTCAGCATAAAATCAAATGCACAAAATTATAGTCAACTATCTTAAAGAAAACAAGTATCTTACAGAAACATTTCAAACTTTTAAATGTGTTTATTTTCGATAAAAATATGACTGTTGTTTACTTTCTACAGAGATAATATTGGAAGACATTTTCCAGCTTTGGATCACAGTAAGGATTGTTCTTAAAACTGGTTGATTTTATTTTAT